GGGTGGAAGTAGGCAGCACTGCGACGGCCACAACGGTGAGCTGAGCAGCCCTTCCTTGGGAGGGGTGTCCATGACGCGCCATACCCGACCCCACCGACCTACTGCATGTGTGTGTGTTGTGTCTCGCAGGCCTTTCGGCTGCAGGTTCCGCCGGAGGACATTCCGGCGTTTGTGGACTGCCTGAAACACTTCGTCAGGTCTGACAGAAAGAGGCGGCCACCGAAGGACCCACCAGTCCATCTGCCTCTGTCTCCCCTGGTCTGTGTCTCCGCCCATCTGTCGGTGCTTCATCATGCAGGGGCTCCCTACGGGGGCTGGCCCATCCCCTTGACAGGGACCAGGTCGGCCACTCCGACCAGGAGCAGGTCGGCCACTCCGACCCTTCCGACGGCCGATCCCCAGGCTCAGAGCGCACGGCATCAACAACCGCCACTACCACAACCACAACCACAGCAGCAGCAGCAGCCGCGTCAGCCACCACGGGGCCGCGTGTTGGCCGCAAATCCCGCCTCATGAGGGCGGTGGTGATGGACTTAGCTGCGGTGAGTAGAGGAGGGAGACGGGACGGGACGAGTGGCTCTTCACACACGTTAAGGGGGCGGCCGTGTGTTTGCTGTGTTTGTTGGGTGGTCCGTGCAGGTCACGATTCAGCGTTGCGCCAGGGGCTTGTTCAGCCGCAACATCCGCCGCTACCGGAAAGCCCGTCTCGCCTATGAGGCTGCCGTGACGCCAAAGGCACTCAAGATACAGAGCCTCTACAGAGGTCAGTCAGACAGACAGCCGAGACCGCACCGCCACGTCTGTCTGTGTGTGTCTGTCTGTCTGTCTGTCTGTGAAATGAAGGCTACAAAGGGCAACAAGTGGCAAAATCCGAAAGGGAGCTGAAAAATATCCAGAAACGCAGATACGACAAGGCGGTGAGCGGGTGGTGGCTGGGCCTGGCTCTTCCACACACACATGAAGCAACCCCTTATTGACCTTTTCCCACCCGCAGACACACATCCAAGCCTGCCGGCGTCGCGTCCTGACCATGAGATGGCTGGAAAAAGAAATCATGGTCAGTCAGCCAGCACCCGACACACACACACACAGACGTCGATGGCACCGCCTCACCTGTTTGTGGCTGCCGTGGACCGATGGTGGCAGATTATAGGGATCATGAAGTCTCGCGACATTGGTGCCACCGACATCCAGCGATTGTGGCAGGGGCATATTGCTCGGGAGCTAGGGAAGAAAGAGAAGGACAAGGTCGTGTTTGTGTGGGACCAGGACGGGAAGACCGTCGACATCAGCGTGAGGATCGTTGAAAATGATGGGGGACCAGAAAATGGGGGAAGAGACACACCGGAGGAGGTTGACGCAAGACGGTCCGCCACGCCGTGGCAGGACCCAGTGAGGATGAAATGGTGCCGCATCCGAAAGTAGGCAACCACAACACAGACGGCAAACACATAGACAGTGCACTCTGTCTGTCTCTCGTTCATTCAGGTGCTTCGTGCATAAGGTGCCTCGTCGCATCGCCGAGTATGATTTCAAATTCTTCGTTCATGGAGGAGATAGACCCCGCCTTCATCCGGTGTACCCAATCCAACCGGTCAGTGAGTGAGCCACACCTGACGGACAGGTGTGGCAAGGATGCCGCTCTCTGTCTCTTTCTGTCTGTCAGGACCCCGATCATCCCACCGACATGAGACGCAGATTCAACGCCATTCAGATCAAGACCACCCTACCCAGAGCTGGTAAGCCAAGTCGGCCCTTACAGCCGCCCTCAAGGAAGTCTTCCTCTGTGCTGCTGTCTATGGTGTGTCTCACTCAGTGATAAAGCCTGAGGAGGATGCCAACGTCGCTGCACCTGCACCCGCAGGCGGCAACGGCGCCGACGACCAGGGCCAAGGGCAGGGCGGCCCATCCGCCAGCAGTGCATCGGAAGCGGCGGCCGGGTCGTCGGTCGACGCCACCACCGAGGAGCTGCCCGAGTCAGAAGGCCCCCAGCCGCAGGCAGCCACTACCACTGGTCAACCGGAAAGCCCCACACCACAGGGGCCGCCCACCACACTGCCTGCCACGTCGTCGGCGGCATCGATCCAGGAGTCCGTGGCCCCGTCCACCACGGCGGGAGAAGGATGAACGCCAATACATCCGCAGAAGCTCGGGAGGTAACGGACAGGCGACGCAACGGGCAAGCGAATGACTGTGTCCGTCATGTCTCCCTCTCCAGGACAATTTTCCGTGCCAAGTCTACCAGCAGCCGACGAGTGGAGCCAAGAAGTGTTCAAGGCCTTAATTGTGACATACCAACATGTTGTGATTGTGCCATTTTTCGGTGCCCTTCTCCCTCCCTCCCTCCCTCCCACAGTCTGCTGTGTATTTGTTGGTGGTGTGTGCGGTGCATTGTGCATTAAGTCGAAGTTCATTAAGCCATGCCTTGCTAAGTCAGGGCGTCTCGTTTGTGTGAGTGAGGAGTGAGTGCCCGGCCGGGTGCGGTGGGGTGCGGTGCCCAAATGGCCATGGACTTCGGTGCATGGAATGAGGCCAGGCGTTCAGACGCAGTCACTGTCTATTTTTTCTCAATCGGTCAGTCGTCCGCACAGCAAACTGGTATGGTCCGTGCCTGTGGATCTTTGACTCACAAACATTTTGTCTTCAGTCTCACAGATCGTCACGTAAAAGCACATTTCTTTGCTCACCGAAAACAGAACACTCGTTTGTGTGTGTGGATGCCTCTCATTCAGGCATCGAGCAACGTGAGACAAGCATGCATGCCAGTCCTCTCATTAATGGACGGCACCCCCACCATCAGCACCTGGTTGGTCAAGAGATAGACGGACGGAGACACACACGTGTGGCGTATGTCATGTGTATGGACAGACATGTTGATGAAGGCCATCAGTGAAGAGGTGCCGCCCGCCAATGTGGCCATCGCAGACAGAATCACAAGCGGCGTCGCAACCCCATTCGACCCTGTGCGTCAGTCAGCCAGCCAGAAAGAGACACGCATCTCGTCTGCCCGTGTCTCTGAGTCTCTGTGTGTGTCTCTGCATCGATCTATCCATCCATCCATCGATCAGTCGTTGTTGCTGCGTGTGGATGCGTGTGAGCGTGACTACGACAGCTCCCCGTGCCCCCTGCTATTCGACGACATCAGCCCACCAGCGTCGGCCGACTACCACCTCTGCCAGGCCTCCACTGAGTACGACGGGCCGTGCAGCGACACCGCCGCCAACTTCTCCGCACACATGAGCCAAGCCGCCAAGATCAAATGGCAGACAGACTGCGTGGCGGTTTGGCCGTGCAGACACTGCACAAGGGACTTCACAGTGCAAGTAATGCACTCGCCAAGCAGTCACTCCGTGCACGTCATTACGTGTCCCTGTCTCCATTACGTGTCTGTCTGTCTGTCTGTCTGTCTGTCAGTGTCCAAGTGGTTGGGTGGCCGTCGAGGGTTCGCACACCGCATGTGAGCCGCCCGCAAACTACACGGGCAACTGCAGGTAAGGCGGCTGTCTCTCTGTCATTTATGAACCCATGGATGAATGGATGGATGGATGTCTCCCTATGAGTCTGTCAGGTTTGTTGTGGATTTCACCGGTTTCAACGCGGCCCTCTACACAAAATGGAGCGGAGAATGCGTAAGCCACACGTGCACTCAACCACCACAAGTGGACACTCTGGTGTGTCTCATGTGGTCGGCAGAATGCGTACTTCCCGTGTGTCGTGGCGTCGCCTGCCGACACGCTCATCGCACGCCCCAACCCAATCAGCAGAGTCAGAAATGCCACAGTCACAGACAGACAGACAATGTATGGCCATATCTGTTTGCGTGTTAGGTTGCGACGCTCGCGCGGATGAAGGCCGGCCTGCAGTGGTGATGGATGGGCAGACGAATGGACACAGCAACAGACATACAGATGCATGCAACCGTGACACATCATAGATAAGATGAATGCATGAAGCAGAACAGAAAATTAATGGCGCTGCCTTCCTCTGCAGAGGCCCTCCTCGACATGATGATCTTGCTTTGCAGCAGCCGGGAGGAGCAGCAGCATCACCCTCTGCCTTGCGGTTTTTGCCAGCATTCTGCCTTGCCTCTGCGATGAGTCGTCGGTTTGCGAGCTTGGCCAGTCTTCTTCCTGTGTAACTCACTTTGACGGACGGGCGTCACCTAAACGCAGCACGTCAATTGCAAACTACCGTGAGGGAGGCCATCTGCAGGGATCTCCTTGATGAACAGCAGCGACAGCAACGACAGCCAGGCGCTCCCCAGAGGTGACGACGCCAGCAGCACTCGACAAGGGAGAAAATAGAAGCAAAGCGGCTCTTTCACAGCTTGTTCCACGTCAGCAGACACAGTAAGGAAGGAATCAAAACGAAAAGATCGAGCCTGCGAGACCTCTTTGTTTGCCGCGTTGGTCAGGTGTTGACCCATCTGTGAAGAAGAAACCGGAGAAGCAGCGTTTGTCTTTGGGGTCTGGTTGGCCTGCCGGTGCACCCGCTGATGGTATGAGGCCTGAGTGACCGAATAAATGAGCTGTGATGGAAAAGCAAAGCAACACTGGCTGGGGTGGCATCTCTGTGTTCTCACTGCAGATGCCGTTGATGTCTTCGCTGTGAGGCCGTCAACTGACCGACTGGCTGACCAGGTCCGTTGGAAGAAAGAAGGCTTGCAAGCGATTGTGTGAGTCTCTGTGTCTATGTCTGTGTCTGTGTCTGTATCTCTGTCCGCGCAGGCTTGCGACGTGGTGTGATGGCCCAGTCGTCCTCTGCCGCATCGCAAGCACCTCCTGCTGCTGTGCCGCCCGGCTGCAAGAAGCTGGATAAAGTCGTCATCGTCCTTGATACGAGCGTCACTCCTCTGAGTCGGCAGCTGCTGGAGGACTGCATTCGCCGAACCATCAAGAGTGGGGCGCAAGTCACACAGCTGATCCGTCAAGGAGCTGACCCGAGAGCCACCGGCGGCCTTCGTGTCCGCGGCGCCACAGGATCCCCGTTCTTGCAGTACAGCTGCCTGTCTTTCGCCATCGACAGCCCAACAGACAGACCATACCTCGTCGCGACCAGCGGTTATGGTTGCCCGGAAGTGCCCGTCGTCGCGCCGCAGTGGCCCTCCCGTCAGATGCAGCGTGAGGTCATCGATGCACTCATTGCCGGCGGCGCGGACGTCAAGGGGGGCGCATGGCCGGTACAGCGGCCCGTCAAAGTGGCGATTTGTGCTGGCAATCTGACGGCAGTGGAGGCCCTCCTGGCTCGACATGAGGCCAACGTGCGGGGAATTTGGGTGATGGAGCTTCCCTTCTTCCCCGATGCTGAACCTCACCCTCACTTCACGTGGGGGCGCGAGAATTTTGCCCCTTCCGCCACTCGCGAGTACGAGGACTCTCTCATGGACATCTATCGCTGGCTCATCCAACACGACAGCACACTCGCAGCCGAACGGTCCGATCAAGAGAGCCTGGTCCGTTTGGCAATCAGGAGGTCACGCATCTTCTCCCAGTCCTTCATCGACGCGTACCTCTCCCTCATTACCAGCCACGAAGCCGACACGACGGCGACAGACAACTTCGGCAGGACGCAAATGGAGTTGGCGGCATCGTTTGGCTCCTACTGTGTGGCTCATTGGCTGTGCCGCCAGCTCACAGGCCATGACGTCAACAGAGGCATCCAGCCCAACACGCCACCAGTCGCCATCGCTGCCGACCAGCTGGACCAGCACCAACAGTCGCAGCACCAACAGGAGGAGCGGCGCCAAAGATGGATCCGCGAGTACAAGACCACCATCGGTGTGCTGCTGCGGGGCGGGGCTGCCCCGTCCATTGCCCGCATGTTCACCTTCACCGAGGTGAGCCGCCGCCGCCGCCGGCTGGTGCTGGCCGAGTATGCCACACTGCTGAATGAGCTGTGTGCCGCCGTCATGTCGGCCATCAATTCTGCCCTTGCCCCCCAGCGTGACCACTCGATGCTTCTCGCCCGTCTGCTGCCCCTCGCCCCCCACCACGACGGCGCCCACCCCCACCCCTCCCCATCCAACATGGCATTCGGCCCACACGAGGCAGAGGTCATCGCATGGAAGATCGGCGCCTTCCTGCACGAGCCCCCCGCTGCTGTGGCCGCCATCAACGAGTACCTCATCGGCGAGTCGCTGCTGAGGCGCCGCGTGGGTGCGGCCGTCGGCCACTTCGTTAAGTCGGCGGCCACACACACGAGCAGCAACCAAGAGGTGGTGGGAGGGACGCGATACCAGCAGCAGGGCGACAAGCACGTCAAGGTGACCGTGCCGCCGCTGCAGTGCTTCGCCATCGATGCGGGGCAGAGGGGCGGGAAGCATCGGCTGCTGGGTCTGCGTGAGGTGGTGCACAAGGCTCGGCTAGACGAGGTGGCCAGGTATGGCCTGACTGGTGTGGTCAAGGGCTTCAACGACCACATAGTCAACGACTGCGAGTTCGAGTGGGGCCGGCTGGGTCACATCGAGAGCAGCGGGGCCTTTGTGTCCCTCGCTGAGTCATTCCAGCCGCACGCAGCACCGGGGGCGGGGGCCGATGGCGGTGGTGGTGGTGAGTCGTCTCAGGAAGGCGATGACGGCCGCAGTATTTTCCGCAGTATTTTCCGCAGTATTTTCGGTGAGTCGTCTCAGGAGGGCGATGACGGCCGCAGTAGTGGCGGTGAGTCGTCTCAGGAGGGCGATGACGGCCGCAGTGGTGGCGAGGCGTCAGAGGGACAGATCGGCGGCGGCGACATGCAGGGCCAGGAGGAGGAGTACGACAATGACGGCGACCAGGACTCTCTCAGCCGCACGGGACCGCAGCCAGAAGACATGAACGACCCGTTTGCCGGTACGTTAGTCAGTCAGTAAGGCATCCATTCATCCATCTCTACGACAAACACCTCGACGTCACTCATCCCCCGGTTGTCTGTCTGCTTCTGCCGTCCGTTGTTGCAGCGGATGCCGATCCTTCTGCCGGAGAGGACCAGGGCGACGGCTTGGCGGATTGTGCTGACGGTGCGATGGAGGTCGACCATCCAGCCACGCCTGCCCCGCAGCAGGGTGTGGCGAGGCTTCGGCAGGAGAATGCCAGACTTGAGGCCGAGAATGCCAGACTCCGACAGCAGGTGCAGCAGCACTAGCAGCGTGCGGAGGAGGAAAGCGATGGAAGCGGACAACCATCGCGCATCGGTCAAGGGCTTCAATGAGCACCTGGGCGATCAGGACTGCCAGTTCGAGTGGGGCCAGCTGGGGCATCTGTCGAGGACCGGACTGTTCGTGTCGCTGGGCATCGAGTGACTGGGAGGGACGGGGAGAGGGCAGTAGAGTAGGGGGTGAAGTGGCTGCATGTTTCACTCCTTTTTGTAGCAGTTCAATAACACTTTCACAAGTAGAGTGCCATCTCAGCATGGAGCTGGTGGTCAAGTGAGTACATGCATAGCTCCGTGGGCGAGTGGGGGACAGGTTCGCCGTGGGGGGCATGCTGCTCTGGTCACATGGATGCATGGTGCCGCAAGTGACACGTCTGCCGATTGTTTTTCAAGCAGGTTTGTATACTGTCCTGCCTTGTGTCTGGCTCGCCCTGTGCTGCTTTTTTATGCTTTGTTGGTCTTCACGACGTGTCTGCTGCTCCACCGAGAGAGAAGCTCAAGAGAGACTGGGCCTTCTTCTTTCTGTGTGCGTGTATGTGTGTTTGTGTATGCGGCTTGTACAGAGACATCAATGTGTGCAGGGCCCGTGTGACAGTGCGTGGATGGGATGGGTGCTGTGTTGCGTATGTACATATGATGGTAATTCATCCAATACTGACTGATTCAATTCAATAAAGGAGCGTCTGGTCTGCACTCTCTCATCCACACAGAGCCACCTGCACCAACCCATACAGCCCACACGTCGCTGCCACTCACTTAAACAAACCATCGATTTGCCGGCCAGCCCACACATGAAAGAAAGAGGCCTATCATGTATGCGTATGTGTGTACATATGTACGTATGAAGTAGGTAAGAAGACAGCCAGTGGATGTCTTCTGGCAAAGGAGGCGACAAGATAGGCGACAGACAAAGACGACACATCTGCACCTGTACTCTCGATTTCTTGCAGCTACGGTCTGTCGTCCCAGGTCACTGGGAAGCGATCCTTGATAGGCGGCACCCACACCAAACACAGCCGGCCCGGTCGTCAGGACCTCAACACGCACTGCGAACGAACGCCAGACAGACAAATGACGGCAGTGGTGCACTCACAGCAAATGAATGCTAGGCTAGGTTTCCTGGTGCCTACCTTGGTTAGGGTGATTTCCCCACTGACGAAGCGGTGCCTGCCGCCGGTCAGCACAAGCCCACTTGAAGAATCGTCTGGTCCTCTGGTACTGCTGCCGACCGGCATGCCTGACCAATGGAGCACACAGAGAACACACAACAGATGCACGGATGGGCCATGTGCGTAGATCTTCGTGACGATGCCCGCCTGACCCGTCGATGACGTACTCGATGACGGGCTGGTGAGTGCAGCGAAGAAGTGCTCGAGGATCTTGTTCTTGGCCAACGACGACACAGACACGTTTGTGCTCCCCAATGGCATGCCCACAAAGGTACGTGCCTGCGACCTTGGAAGGGCCGGCAAAGAGAAGAATCGGCTGCGGACTGGTCCTGCCGATGCTGCTGGTACAGATTGTTAGGATGAGGGAGGGGCGGTCGGTGGTCAGCGAAGGCGCCCTCGTCCTTGATGGCTCGCAGTGTGTCGCCACGCCGTTGCCATCTTCAGCTGCGTCAGCACACGCGGGGTTGGTGGCCAAATATGCCTAAACACACACCACATGCACGTGGAACACACCATCCCTGCAGTGAGAGTCGTCCTCCGCTTCTCCCTGTCCTCCCCTCTTCTCTGGTGTCATACCGTCTTGCATGCGAATTGGTCCAGTCGGCAGCAGAGAGGCTCACAGGCAGCTGGCAATTGCCACACTCACCCGCCAGCCCGCGCATCTCGCCCACCTCACGCCAGCAGCCCACCTTAACGATGCACACGGCCGGCAGCAGGTCAGTCTGACCAATCTGCTGGCCGGCAAACGCCAGCAGGAGCATCGACAGCTGGGTGAGAGGCTAAGTGGGGCGCTCCAAGGGCATCTCTGAGCCACCTGAATGGCTTTCTGTGGGGCGGACGACTCGGTACCGACCCACAGAAACCACACGGGGTGATGCTGCTGCGCTTGCTGCTGCATGGGCTGCATGCATGTGCCCCTGGACGAACCGCAGCAGAGGAGAAGGCGGGAGGGGAGATTCGATGAGTTGACTAGAGATCCCGGCAGGGCAGATCCCGGATCTGATATGGGCGAGTCTCTGCCAGCTGAGAGAGGCTGATGAGCGGTCCACGGAGGGATGAGCGGTTTGGGGACGCGAGCTTTTAGAATGCAAGCTCGCAGTTTCTTCCAACGCTGAAAGAGAAGCAAACAAGGCTTTCTGAGGCGCACGTACAGGCCTGTAGACATCCTCTAGGCAGATCAGCTTGAGTTGGCCATCGGCTATTGCGTACATCGTTCTCACCGCATTCGGACTATCTGCTGACTGGCTGAGGGTGTCTGTCCGTGTGGCGCGTGCGTGATGGGCCATGAGAATGGCGTGACGAGGAGGGAGGACCAATGGATTGAGCAGCTGAGGCAGAACCCGCCACGCTACCTCACCGAGAAGGACCTCAAATACGTCTGCATGAAGGTACACACAAGCAGGCAGGCACTACCAGCAGGCAGGCAGGCACTGGGCCATGGCCGCTCTCTTTCTGGTGTATGTGCAGGTGAAGGAGATCTTGGTTGAGGAGAGCAATGTGCAGCATGTGGACACGCCTGTGACGATATGCGGTGACATCCACGGCCAGTACTTTGACCTGCTGGAGCTCTTTGACGTGGCAGGGGAGGTGCCTGACGAGAATTACATTTTCATGGTATGATGGGTGACAGAGGCGCTCAAGCCACACAGACAGGTCGATGGATGTCTGAATCACTCGTTCGTTCAGGGTGATTTTGTGGATCGTGGGTTCAACAGTGTGGAGACCCTGCAGCTGCTCCTGGTGCTCAAACTCAGGTGGGACGATGCCTCGCCGCCGGGCGGAATCGTCTCCGTATGGCCGTGTGTGAATTGGTGTGTGATGCCTGCAGGTGGCCCCAGCACATAACGCTGCTGCGGGGCAACCACGAGACCAGGCAGATCACACAGGTGCCGGGAAAAGAGAACGAGGGGGGGAGAGGCAGGCCAGGCAGCGCAACACAACACAACACAACAATATCTGCTTGTGTCTGTCTGTCTGTCTGTCTATCTGTGTGCGTGGCTTGTAGGTGTACGGTTTTTATGACGAGTGCATGCGCAAGTACGGCAACGCCAACCCATGGAAGTACTGCACAGACCTCTTCGACTACCTCACTCTCGCAGCGGTCCGTCGTCACATGGGACCAAGGATTGCCCTGCGTGCAGTGTCTGTGCTGTGGTGTGGTGTTCTGTGTGTGCTACAGATCATCGACGGCCGCATCTTTTGTGTGCATGGCGGCCTGTCGCCTCACGTCCACTACGTGGACCAGCTGAGGGACATCAATCGCATCCAGGAGATCCCACACGACGGACCTTTCGGAGGCACGACAGGCCAACAGATGCGCAGACACACCATCCATGCCACGCAATGTGTGTGTGTGTCTGTCCTTCTCCAGACATTGTGTGGTCAGATCCTGATGACATCGAGACCTGGGCAGTGAACCCAAGAGGTCGGGGCGATTGGGCGAGGCACACAAGCCCAGAAGCATCAATCAATGAGCTTCTTTGCGTGCGTGTTGGTGTGTGTCGCTGGCTGGCTCCACAGGTGCCGGGTGGCTCTTTGGCAGCAAAGCTGTCCGCGAGGTGAGAGAGAGAGGCTGACCTACACGGAGGACAATGATACGCTGATTGGTCTGCGTGCCAGTTTAATCACTACAACAACCTTGAGCTGATCGCGAGGGCACACCAGCTTGTACAGGTACGCACCCAGCCAACCCAAGCCAACCCGACGAGGGTCACTTCACGCCTCTCTGTGGTCAATGGTCAATGGTGTGCGTGTGTGTGGTGTTGGTGTGTTCAGGAGGGCATCAAGTTCCACTACGCCGACAAGTCGCTCGTCACAGTGTGGTCGGCGCCAAACTACTGCTACAGGTGGGTGCGTGGTTCGGGTGTGAACTTGGATGAGAGTGTGTGTGTGTGGTCACTGTGGTCGGTGTGGTCGATGTGCGTGGCGTGTGGTCAGGTGTGGGAACGTGGCCGCGGTGCTCAAGTTCGATGAGTACCTCAACAGACACCTCAAGATCTTCAAAGAGGTCGGTGCCACACCAACCATCCACTCTCTCAATCGACTGATTCACAATGAGTGAATGAGTGAATCAATGAATGATCACCGTGATGTGTGGTGCACGTGTGTGCAGGTGCAGGAGTCGACATCGTCGCAGCCCTGGAGGTCTGTCGTGCCATACTTCCTGTGACACTGATTCATCGGCTGATTGATTCACGTGTGACGTGTTTGCCGTCCTCTGTGCGTGAGCGAAAGGCTCCAGCTGCCCTCTGTGTCCTTGTATAGTCACTGACTCATAGGGCACTGCATGAGCGTGTGTTTGGATCGCAAGGAGAACGCGCCCGTCAAAGCGATCCGCCCTAGCCCAGACACGAATTAAAAGTGCCGCGTACACCCTAGGGTAGGGTTTACGAGATCGACCGATCAACTGAGAAAGCAGCTTTCCTGCCTTCCAGCCAGCTCACTGAGCTCGGGGTGTGTTGTGTATTTGAAGCCTCTGTAGCCCTTTGCCCTTCGGGTTTTTCTGACCACCGACCACCACACAGGAATGATGATGCGCTGTGCCGTCGTCTTCGCTCTCGTCGCCGTGGCGATTGCCGAGCCGGGATACGACTACAGCTGCCCGAAGGGCTACACCCTCCAGGGGAAGGGCAAGGAGGCGACCTGCTATCGTCAGACCAAGACCCATGCCATGGTGAGAGCTCTCAGTCGGGCAGATCAGTCGGGAGGGCGCCAG